TTGGCGTCTCTTTTATGTGTTTCACATTCAGATCTTGTTTTGATGTAAAGTTGGCTTTTGCAGATGTCCGTAATAAAACCTCGGTGTATAATGAAAGGCTTTGTGGTGCAATTCGACAAAATAGATGACTATCTTCCACCTGATACGAGTGGTTGGCTCCGCAGATATTCTGTTCTAATGCATCCGCAAGCAATGGATATACTTGGTATCAATCCAAGGCAACCAGTCCGTGTCCAAACTCCTGCTCAAGAGTACATCGGAGTAATTTGGCCTTGTAAAGAGGTGAGCGCTCTTTATTAGAAGGTAACTTTATATAACATCAACCTGCTCTTTTTTCCAACTATGCTACCCTCCTGACACTTTCGTTCCGGAGATAGTGTTCTATTTAGCTAGGAGTTTTGCGGCTATGTCTCACCGAAGAAAATGCTGCTTGGGAGAAACTTGTCAGCGTCACACCTATCTGGAATCCAGTAAACCTCCCACAAATTTCTGTATCCACTGATCCTATTCTGCCATTGGCTACTGGATCATTACAGGAGTACATACAGGTAGCTGAAACCCCGTCTCTTTTGTACATCAACTTTTAGTTGTCTACTTTCCTCTTCAGATGTATTTGACCAACTCTTATATTCAACCTGGGATTGCTATTCCCATGAATTATTACGGGAAACTTATTCAAATCGTTCCAGACGTCCCTCTCGAGCTTGCCATGAAGGATATTTCACTGGAAGACGGAGAGTTGGAGGTGCTGATTTCGAAAGTTCATGCCTATTTCCTACTTAATATCTCTTTTACAGTCTGAACATATCATCTTCGTTCCCTCTGATTGCACAGTAACCATATCATCAACTACGCCCTTTCGAGAACCAACGGATCCCCTCTCAGCTGTGTCTTCAATAGGAGGAATGCATATAGCGAAGAAAACTCTAATGGATTTCGTCTTGCTGCCGTATCTCAGGTATTGGCTTTTTTGCAAAATTGAGTCTTTTGACGCTACTTCTATTGATCGCGGAGGGGCATGCAGCGGTACGACTAATTTCGATCCTCAGTGAAACGACGTTGCAAGGACTCTGGTCCTCTGTGCTCTTCTGAGGCTGAGGACGAGAAGGATCGCTGTTTCCATTAGAAAGCGCTGAGGAGCGGCGCTTCACCGCCTTGCTTTTCCCAACTACCAGTGACACCTGCACCTCTTCTTTGCGTAGCGTTCACATTTGGAGATTTTCAGGGACAAGTCATGCTGCTCTGTGTTGCTTTGGGGTTTGCCAGGCAGTGGCAAAACACTTCTGCTGTCTGCCGTCGCTAAAGCACTTGGAGGCTCGGCCTTTTACTCCCAGGTATCGTGATAATATCTGTTTTTACAATATTATTACAAGATGATGTACAATACCATAACAGTCAGTTCTTCTATATTGATGGCTAGTCCTTCAAGCGCTACAGAGAAAGGAAACCGCGTACTAGATACTAGTTGTTCCTTATTTCGTCCTTTCGTTGTTCCATCTTGCTCTATTATAACAGATGGCCGTTTCTGAATAAGGCTGACCACTGATTCTCGCAAGAAAAATACTGCAGAATCAAGAAGCGAGAGAGCAGGAGATTTCAAAGGCGCTATATACCTGCCTGTCTAGGCAGTTCATGATTACATAAGCAGATTTTTTAGTTCCCTCCCTCACGACTGGTGAAAGATCCCAGTCACCTTTCTTTATTGATTTCAGTCGATGCACGAATTCAATGAAGAGTATGCCATGCATCCCATCTCAAAGTGCTGAGTGATCTAGATTGTGCTATTCGGTTAAGACAGAGAGCACAAGGGTTTCAACAAATTGGTTCAGTTGATGGATAATCAGGTATTATCGCTGTCTGCTTTCTGTCAAGAAACGAAACTTTGATATATGACTACACAGAACTTTTGTCCACGAAAGCGAACGATCTTCCTTCTTTCTCCACTTTTTGTCTTTCTTTGTCTTTTTTTTTGTCTTCAGAGTGCAAAGAAAAACACATTTTGCTCCATCCAAGTATTTGAACTTCTGTTATAATCCCGCCTTTCCTGTTTTTCCTCCAGTCATTACGTCACTGTTTTCATTGTTTTTGTCTCTCTGGTGGGTCCTTTTATCTCCCTTTTATCTCTTCAAGTTGATGTAGTTGCCATCACTATCGTAACTCATGGCTTCTCTAGCATTGCACGAACAATTTATTTTTTCTTTTTGCGCGTGTGATTTCACTTCCTACCCATATAGTTTTTTACACGATTGATTCTTTCTGAGATTCGGAGTGCATGCTCTTTGTGAGATTATTTTCGTGATTACAGAAGCAGAACTTCCGAACTTGGACTGGTCAGAGGACCATTCGTTCTTGTGAATTCTACGCCCCATGTGACTTTATTCATCGATTTTCGATCTAGTTCTTTATGCCTCTGTTCTTTACACTTCTCGGTTTTGTTCGCAACTCTTGCTCAGTCTTTCACTTTTTTGCATCTGCGCTGCTGACATGTTGTCGCTTCTTCCCACATAGCTTATCTTGACAAAAGATTTTGGAATTTAGAGATTGCAAGTTTAATGTAAGTGTGTAGATGTATGCTTTCAGTGCGCAGCCGTCATACTTTCCGTGAGACAAGCGGAGGACCTCGACCTCGGAGTCAGAGTCAGGTTTCCCGTTGAAGTACGTTCTTTCCTTGCAGTGAAATAACTTCACCGTTATCGGTGATACTCGTTTTTTCCAGGTTGAAGTCGACGTTCCAATGGAGGAGGAGCGAATAGAAATCTTGCGTTCTTTAACGGGCATTTCTGATGATGTCATTGTCGAGTTGGCAAAGTAAGTAGTTTACAAACATGCTGTTGGCTATATTAAATTTACATGATGGATGCTTCCATTGTGAGGCGCAGTTCGGCGACGAAGGGGGGGGGGGCATTTTGCACTTTCGTTGCTTCACTAGTTCGGTTAACAAGTCTCACTCAGGTGGAACGTGTGAACTCTTGCAGAGTTGAGGCAAGCCTGTCAAGCCGTCGTGGTAAAACCT